GTTTCAAATTTGCTTATTTCTTCTCTAATTTTTTTAAGATTTATCTATTTATTTGAAATTCAGAGTTCCACAGAGAGAGGAGAGAGAGAGAAAGAGAGAGAGAGAGAGAGAGTCTTTCATCTGTTGATTCACTTCCCAACTGGCTGCAACGGTCGAGCTGCACTGATCTGAAGCCAGGAGCCAGGAGCTTCTTCCAGGTCTCCCACACGGGTGCAGAGGCCTGAGGACTTGGGCCATCTTCTGCTTTCCCAGGCCATAGCAGAGAGCTGGATCAGAAGTGGAGCAGCCGGGTCTCAAGCCGGAGTCCATATGGGATGCAGGCACTGCAGGTGGTGGCTTTACCCGCTACGCATCGGCTCCATCTTCTCTAATTTTTATTATTTCTTTCTCCTCCTAATTTTGGGTCTGATTTGTTCTTGCTTTTCTAGTTCCTTGAGATGAATTCTTAGGTCATTTGTTTGATATATTTTCAATTTCTTGATGTAGGCACTAATTACCATAAAGTTTCCTTTTAACACTCTTTTTGCTGTATCTCATAAGTTTTTTTTAAGATTATTAATTAATTAATTAATTAACTTATTTATTTATTTTTCAAAGGCAGAGTTACAGGGAGGCAGAGACAGAGAGAGAGACAGAGAGAGAGAGAGGTCTTCTATCTACTGGTTCACTCCGCAGATGGCCACAATGGCTGGAGCTGTGCTGATTCAAAGCCAGGAGTCAGAAGCTTCCTCCAAGTATCCCCCATGGGTGCAGGGACCCCTGGACTTGAGCCATCTTCCTCTACTTTCCTAGGGTACAGCGGAGAGCTATATTGAAAGTCAAGTAGCCAGGCCTCAAACTAGTGCCCATATGGGATGCTGGCACCACAGATGGTGACCTTACCCGCTATGCCACAGTGCCGACCTCTGTCCCATAAGTTTTGATATCCTGTGTTGTCATCCTCATTTGTTTCAGGGAATATTTTGATTTCCATTTAAATTTCTTCTCAGACCCACTGTTCATTTGAGCATGTTGCTCAGTCTCCATGTGCTTGTATATTTTCTAGAGTTTCTTAAGTTATTAATTTCCAGCTTCATTCCACAGTTATCAGAAAAGATATATGGTATAATTTCATTTTAAAAGAAATTGTTGAGACTTAGTTTGTTGCCTAGCATATGGTCTATCCTAACAAATGTTCCATGCACTAATAAAAAAAAAGTTTTTCAATGGCTATGGCTATGTGATGCAATGTTCTGTACATATAAATTATATCCATTTGGTCAATAGTGTAAATTATCTATGTTATTTTTTTGCTGATTTCTTTTTTGGTTGATTGGATCAGTCATTTGATGAAAGTGTGATGTTGAAATCTCCCATTATGATTGTATTGGAGCATATGTCTCCCTTTTGATTATTAACACTTGTTTTATATGCCTGGGTGCTCCTGTATTGGATGCGTCTACATTTACCATAATCACATCTTCCTGTTGAGTTGAACCCTTAATGATTAAAAAAAAATGACCTTTTTCTCTTTTAACAGTGTTTGTCTCAATGTCTATTTTGTTTGATGTTAAGATAGCTACTCCTGCTTGTTTTTGATGCCCATTTGCATGGAATATCTATTTCCATCTTTTCACTTTGATTTTGTGTGTCTTTGTTGATCAGGTATGTTTCTTGTAGACAACATATAGATTGTTCTTGCTTTTTAATGTATTCAACTAGTCTATGTCTTTTAAATGGAGAAATTAGGCCATTTGCATTCAAACTTACTTTTGATAATTAATGATTTGTTCTTGTAGTTTTTCTATAAATGCTCCTGTTGTTTGTTTTGGATCTCCTTTGTACTATAATTAGGAGGCTTTCTGCCTTCACATTCTATTGTAACCCTGGTTATCTTTCTGTTTCTATGTATATGCACACAAAAGTATCATTTGTAAGGCTAGCTGGGTGATGGCAAATTCTTTCAATTTCTGTTTGCTTTGGAAGGTCTTTAATTCACCTTCATTTGAAAATGAGAGCTTTGCTGAGTAGAGTACTCTAGACTGACTGTCTATTTAGGGTTCTACATGCTTTCTGTATCCATACCCATATCTTTGTCCAAATAAGGGAAATGTCCAATTATTTCATTAAATAAGTTTTCTAAGCTATTCAGTTTTCCACTCCTTTAGGAATGTCTAAGTCATGCAATTTTTGTTGTTTGAGGCTATCCTGTAGATTATGAACATTGTTTTTGTTTTTTCAATTTTTTTCTTCTTTTTATCATCTGACTGATATATTTCAGAAGCTCTGTCTTTCACCTCTGAAATTCTTTTCCTGCCTTACCAAGTCTGTTGTTCAGGCTTTCAGCTGTAATTTATATTTGACATTGACTCTTCATTTCTAATATTTCAGCTTGATTTTTCTTTAATGTTTCTATTTCCCAGTAGAATTTCTCATCCATGACAATCACAGACTTCTTTCTCATGCAATTGCTTCTCTGTATTTTTTGAGTAATCTTAGCATCAGTCTTTTGAAGACATTTTCAGGCATTTCATTAATTTTATCTACACAGTCTAATATTGAAGTATTATTGTGTTTCTCTTTGGAGAGTTTTATGGTATTTCTTGTTTGTGTTTCTTGTATTTCTACACTTATTTTAGGCTTCTGGAGAAATATTTGTTGATATCTCCTCTGAAGTTTTTGTTATTGGGAATGTGACTTTCTGTGTAGCGGGATGCCTGCACATTGATGGGGTACCCAGAAGTATGTGCTGAGTGTGGCCTGGTTACTCTGACCAGCATTTGTTTGTGGAGCAAAAGTCCATGGTAATACTCAAATTATTTATGATAGTTCTCCTCTGTAGTCAGTAGGGAGAGGGAATGGTTTCTCTGGCTGGCATGATCACTGCCTCTGCCTTTCCCTGTGCCAAGGTGAACATTTTTTGGCTTATAATACTCAGTCACTCAGGTGCAAGAACCACACAAAGATTCTATGTGCTCCACAGTATGAGCATGAAGCCCTACATGATGTTTGTTCCTAGCACTCAAGAAATTGAGCTTCTGGAGACAGGGTCAGCAGTTACTCAAAGACCCAAACACACTCCACTCCCTAATGAGTTTCATAGCCTATTGTATAGTCACAGGGTGAAGGGTTCTTGCAATCACAAGCTGCTAGTTATCGACTCTGCCCTGTAAGCTTCCCCAGCCAAAAAGAGCTACCCTGCCCCTGAATTTGGTACTTTGGCAGGATGAAGGGAGGAAAGATGCATGCCATGTGGGCACCCTGACCCTGTTAACTCTCCATGCTAGACTCCACTGTTCTTATTTTGGGAAGATGGCATTCCCCACCCTGCTAGTCGCTGGGCACCTTGGAGGGGGAGAGGAGGGAAGCAATGTGTCCTCCATTCACTGAGTTAAGTGGGCACACTGTCCCCCATCAGCTCATCTGCTTGGAGTCAAAGTCACTGAGATGATGGTGCTCCTCTCACTGGTAGCTGGGTGCCATGGAAGGGTGGGGAAGGGTTGCAATGTGTGATCCCAGAATGAATTGAAGTGGGCATCTTGCCCCCTGCCAACTCATCTGCCTGGGCTCAAAGTCAGTGGGGACTGTGGGTCTCTTCCCCAGACAGGGTCACCAGTGGATCACAGGTCTCTGCAGACTCCTCTCTCCTCACTCTGGGAAGGTGGCCTCCTCATAGCCGCCAGCCATTGGAGTCACTGGTGGTGTCCTGCAAGCTGCAGCATGCCTATACAATGCTTGCTGCACCATGAAGTCTCTCTTCCTTCTATAGACTTTTCACTGAAAACATCAACTATCTCCCAGGAATGCAAGTCCTCCCCTGTTTTTGTTTGTTTGTTTGTTTGTTTTGTTTTGTTATCTTCCTCTCATCAAAATCAGCACATCTGTTTCTATTCAGTCATCATGGCATCCCATCCCAAAGCTTTTAAAGAGGACTTGTGACATGGTGAGTGAATGTCCTCTTAGCCAGTCTCTCATTCTAGATTTCACTTCTGCATTTACTGTCTAATCTCTATCTATTAGCCAGAATATTTTCCACACACATTCTATTACTATACTGGCTTATTCAGCATTTCCATCTTGACTTCTTATTACATTTAGAATAATATTTATAAGCATCCTTTGGACCACCAGATCCTCCCAATTTCCTCCTTGGAAGGGTCTTCCTCCATCATTTTCTACATACACACTCTGGTCTAGGCACATTGATCTTCTAGTTTTTCCTAGAAGTCACTGAGAATGTTCTCACTCCAGTCCCTTTAGGCTTCCTGTGTTCTCAACTCCCACCTGGCACATCCTTCCTTTGGACTTCCCTGGATGGGCTCCTCTGTCTCCACTCTTGCATATGTTTGTTGTATATTGGAATCACACTATAAATGTTGTTTTAACCTCCCCTTGGTTTATCAAAGTAACCAAGATAGAATTTAACATGCATATGTTTTCTCTCTAAAGCTACTAAAAGTAACAGATGTATATGTAAACATCTCATTGAGTTCCCAATCATCTAATTTTATCTCACTCCTAGAAATACCTTTCCAAGATTATTCAGTCTGGTTTCCATTATTTGAAATACTACTCTAATTCCAGTTTTCCCAAGTACAATGTGAGTTTTTTCAAACCTCTTACTGTTTTGGGTTTTTGTTATCAGATTAATCACATATGTTTATTAAATTACAATATTTGCAAATAACAGCTCAAGGGTTTCCAAACATTATTTAAAACAAACACTTGAGTTCACTCTTAATTTTGGCTCATTTCTTTTCTAATAGAGACACAGAGTTCAAAAGTAGACTAGTATTTTTCTAATAGCTTCCTTAAGATAAAATCTGAATAATATTTGTTATTTGCCAATACAGTTTACTTCTTCCTTTCCAATATGGATTCTTTTCATTCCATGTTCTTTTTTAATTGCAACCGGGACAGAATCTGCCTATGATCTCTGTCATTTCCTTTTACAATAACTTTGAGTTATTTTTTTTCTCTTGTAACTCCCTACAATACAAAACTATGTTACTGCCTTGAAATCTGTCTTCCTTTTTAATGTAAGCATTAAAAAGGTGTACATTTCCTTCTAAATCCTGTTTTCCCTTAAGATTATGAATCTTTCCAATTTTTAAAATTACTTTGTCATTTTCCTTTTGATTTTACATGTATCCATTTATTATTTTAGAGTATGTTTAATTCCTAGTTAATTTTGAATTTTCCAAATTTCTTGTCATTATTTTATGTAAGTGCCATTCCATTGTAGTCTTAGAACATACTTTAAGTGATCAGTCCTTTAAGCTTATTGAAATTTTTTTATGATTCACTTATGGTGTATCTAAAAATTTTTACTGTATTCAGAGAATATGTTTCATTTCCTCACTGAACATTGGAATTTAAGCTCTAGCACTTCCTCTGCAATTGCTTGCTTTAAGACAGCAAAAGCTTTGCTAGAGTTCAAAGGGTAGGCAAAATCACTTGATTCAAAGATTGCCATATATTTGGATTTAAGTAGCAAAGTTGATATAAATATACCTATGTGAAGTCAGGCATCTGAGGTTACTAATCTATTATAAAATTCATTGATTTAAAATCACAGCAAAATCCTAAAATTTATAACACTTATATTCTATATCTATTGATAAAAGTCATACATTTTAATATATTAATTAAAATTTGGCCCCAAATAAATAAAATAAACAGTACATGTGATGCCATGCTCATTCAAATATTCTGCATGACACTAACAAATTGAGGATAGAATGTGAATTTTCATCTTACAGTTTGATATTCTGTGTCAATACGTTTATTTCACAAATTAGTTTTCCTTTGTAAAAATTTTTATGTATTTTATTGATTTCAGAGGCAAAGAAACAAAGTGAAAAAAAGAGACAAAGAGGCAGAGAAAAACACAAACACTGAGAAATTTCTGACTCACTTGTTCAGCCCCTAAGTGACAATAGTAGCCACGGCTAGATCAGGCTGACGCCAGGAACCAGGAACTCCTTTCGATTCTCCCACAAACGTGGTTGGGACGCCACTAAATGAGAAAGATCCGCCTCCCCTTTGTGCATTAGCAAGCTATTGGAATCAGGACCACAGGCAGGACTCAATCCCAGGCACCCTTATATGGGATAATGGATAAGGGTGCCTTACGCTGTGGCTTAACCACCATCCCAAATGCTCATTTCATTAATTAATCACATAATTAACTCATGAAAATAATATGTCAAAGGTCAGCAATGCAGAGGTAGAAAGATTAAACATTAAAATTATTTTCTTTGGAATTAAATATAATTAGTGCATTTTGTTTGTGTACAAGCATATATATAATACAAATATATGTATATATGTATGTGTATATATATAATATTTTATACAAAATAATATTTTTTTTTACAGAAAAATAACCTAGACATTCTTACATATTCAAAAAATAATAACAATGCTTCAATTTCCACATTTACATTTCAGTCATAAACCTTATGTTTCAGTACATGTCAGTTTCTAGAGGAAATTCTACATAAGTAGGTAATACCATAATCAACTTTTGCAACACAGATAGCTCACCAGAAGTAAAAGCAATTAAAATAATAATTTGCCCCCAGAGAATAAAGTAACTACAAATATGCAAAGGATGAAAGCAATAACATATGAAATTCTTCACATTACAATAAGCTTCATTTAAGTCATGGTTATCAGCAAAGTAAACAGGCCTCCTAAATTATACCTACTTAGAAAAACAACATAACCTGGGAATTTCAGTTCAAAAATACTGTTTAGACATGTCAAGGAAAAATACAGATATCTTTAAATTCTCTGATTTCAACAACAAATATCTAGAAATTCCAAAGTAAAATATGACACACACAACATATATATAAATTCTTTCAACTTAGAACATTTAAATCATAAAAGGCAAAAGGCACAAACTCCTTACGATATCTTACTAAAGATCACAAGGGAGAAATACAAGTGGATTATGCAAAAACAATTAGCATACATATATCATCAATTATCTGACATTTTTATAAATCTACCACTACTTTGCTTTATATTGCATATGCTAAACAGGCAGATGCTAAGTCTGTAAACTGTGAATAACCTCCATTTTAAATTAATTGTTCCTTTGGAAATACCGGCTTTTAAATCCCAGGCTGCAGTTGCTACGCATTACAGATGCGTACTAATCTTGCATTCGGGTTCCCGGGCTATATTCCAGGAGGCAGTAAACATTTATTCCATTTTTAAATTATTTAATGATTCATTTGCATTTTATGTATACTTTGGCATCTGACCTGGTTTAATTTTAGGCTCTCCCAACATGGGCCATTAGGCCTACAAGAATCTAGATCTGTGCATCTTGTAAGCAAATATGACTAAGATGTCTGCAGTCCTGATGTGACTCAAGGAGACAATGAGTGACAGCAGCTGACCCTCCCTAATATTTTTTAGTTTCTGGATTTTTATTTCTCTATAGAGGAGATCATCCAATGGTTGTTTATAATACACCCATTCTCTGTATTGCCTGTATACCAATAACTTTCACTGGAAGTGTGCCAATTGACAGGTATGCTCTAAAGGGAATACAACTTTCATAAATGTGTGAATACGGAGAGATTTCTGCACCACTGATTCCTTTTTTTTTTTGTTTTTTGACAGGCAGCGTTAGTGAGAGAGAGAGAGAGAAAGAGTAAGAGAGAGAGAGAGGAAGGTCTTCCTTTCCGTTGGTTCACCTCCCAAATGGCTGCTATGGTTGGCGCGCTGCGCCAATCTAAAGCCAGGAGCCAGGTGCTTCCTCCTGGTCTCCACGTGGGTGCAGGACCCAAGCACTTGGGCCACCCTCCACTGCCTTCCTGGGCCACAGCAGAGAGCTGGACTCGAAGAGGAGCAACCGGGACAGAACCCGGTGCCCCAACCAGGACTAGAACCTGGTGTGCCAGTGCCACAGGCAGAGGATTAGCCAAGTGAGCCGTGGCGCCGGCCACCACTGATTCTTACAGTTAGAATTCAAGGGTAAAACAGCATGCTTCAATTTTAGTTGAATATGTAGTTCCAAATTATACTCCCTCAGAAGTAGTTGCCTCAGGTTCTTATGAGAAAAGTACTTGTTGACTTAACTTCCATTTCCTTTATATTAGTGACTTTTATCATCATATGTTGGTGCTAGTGCTGTGACACAGCAGCCTCAGTCCATAGCCAATATCAGACTCCCTGGACCAAGCCAACCCTGGCTCTTGGGAGCAGTTGAGGAATGCAACAGTGGATGAAAGAGCCCTAGTACTCTCTCTCACACACTCTCTCTCTCTCGCTTGCTCTCCATCTATATTTAAAAAAGAAAAATTGAATAAATAAGCATTAAAAAATAATTTCCCAACCAGTGCTGTTTCACAATAACAGGAAAGAGGCAGTTATATTTCAAAATCCGTGTGCACTCCACTGAGGAATGACTTTTTCTGTGAGGCTGCATGTAAGGCAGCAGTCAAGTATCACTATTGGTCTCCAAAATCAAAAGTAAAAGTGAGTTGTTTTAAGCATAGTTCAAATTATTTACTACTTTCCTCAGAAAAAAGTTAAAGTCAATTCTGTCAAAAAAGAAGTTAAAGTATTCTGAGTACTTGCAAATCTGATCGACAGTAGGACTGGATTTCTTAATGCTCTTTTGTGCCTCTAGAGCTTGTGAACCATAGGTAAGTTCACTAATATTATTGATATAACATGAATTTCAACATTAAATTTCAATTATGTACTTTTGCAGTTTGAGTTTTATTTTTCTCAGTTCTTTTTGTTTTCTTTTTGACCTGAAATGTTTCTTAACTCTTCAATGCTTGTACATTTCTGGAAAATAAATTTTCAATTCTGCAGCTAAGTTGTGAAAAGTTGATTTGTCACAGGAAGTAGGAATTCTTGCATCACGACTTCTTCTTGCTAGATGAACCTGGAGACCTCCTGTCTATTAAGCCTTTCAACTTCCAGCCAAGATACTACTAATCCCTTTTGTTCTTCTCTCCAGCTGTAGTAAACTTCTGGTAACAAAACAGACAACCTTTTATGATGATGAACATAGCAATGGCCACACAGGCCAGCAGGAAGCAAATCACATCCAGAGAGTGGTACTGGAACCAGGTGAGGTTGTGAGCTGCAGCCCTAAGGTGTCTGGCTCCCTTGTGGCGCATGACAAACTCTACCCAGAAGACTGCTCGATCCAGGGGCTTCGTGGGCTGATCGTGGTGAATCCTTGATAACCTCATAGCATTCTCTTTATATCTAAAGGAGAAACATAAAGATAGCAACATTGAAAAGAAATTAAATTGGCAAAGAATATCAAGTCACAAGAGGTTGATGAAAGGCTTATAATGTTCACTCAAAATAAGTCCTATAGGGCTGGTGCTATGGTGCAGTGGGTTAATGCCCTGGCCTGAAGTGCCAGCATCCCATATGGGTACCGGTTCTAGTCCCGGCTGCTCCTCTTCCAATCTAGCTCTCTGCTATGGCCTGGGAAAGCTGTACAAGATGGCCCAAGTCCTTTGGCCCTTGCACCTGTGTGGTAGACCCAGAAGAAACTCCTGGCTCCTGGCTTCGGATTGGTGCAGCTCTGGCCATTGTGGCAAATTGGGGAGTGAACCATCAGATGGAAAACCTCTCTCTCTTTCTCTCTCTCTCTGCCTCTCTTCTCTCGGTGTAACTCTGACTTTCAAATAAATAAATAAATCTTTAAAAATTAAAAAAAAAATAAGCCCTGTAGCTATCAGAGTGGTGTGTTTTTGCTTGGATCAATTTAGAAGTTGGAATTCTAAATTGGAATGCATTCTCACTGAAATAGATTCTCCAAAGTGAAAATGAAAAATCCCATGGAAAAGGAAATCTTTCCCAGCAGAGAAAATGGTAAAGAACCATCCTAAATGTTATAATGAGATGGTGGAAATGCATTTTGAGAATGGTCATCTTAAATCTTTTCAGGGGGAGTTGGGTCATTGTGGTGAATGCCTCTTTCATCTCAGTTTCCTGTTTGTTTTCTACCCTCAACTGTCTATACTACTTTCAGAAACTGAAATCATGCTTTATTTTTATTAATTTTTAAAATTTATATAAATGGAACAAATTTTATGTATCTCATACATACAGTTTTAAGAACATAATGACTTTCCCCACCCTATTCTCCTTCCCTCCCTGATTCCCAATCTTTCTCTTACTTCTTTTCATATTTTCTTTAATTTTTTTCTATAACACATTGAATCACAATCTTGTTTTGCTCATACTTCTATCTTGCTTCTCATCTATTTAGAATAAAATGCAAAATATCTTTGGGCTATTGGACTCTCTAGGGTGACACACTGGAAATGTTTTCTCCTATGTTTCCACTCTTTTGTAGGCAAAATTGTAGTATTCCCTTGAAGCTACCAATATATTTTCATTTTAATACCTTTATATTATGTCTCCTGGATCCTTATTCTCTGGTATTTCTCAAGTTATATTTTTACTTCATAATGGATACGTTGGCATGAACAATTTCTGAGAACATTTTCATAACAAGATAGGCTAGCACATCTTCGCACTTCCTATAATGTTTTGTATTTATTTGGTCTTTAATCCCAGTATTTAAAAATATACAAGTAGTTTGCACAACTTAATTGTTTCATTTAATAAGAAAATATGTACATATCCTAAATGAACTGCAAGCAACTTCAAAATTTGTTTGAAAATAATAGTAAAGGAAGAAATCAATATACCTATTAATCACATGAAGATACCTGCACATCTGAATAGAAGCGCCCTGTATTGTGGGAGTGCTTAAGTACTACTTCCTTCCCCTAAGTAATTTCTGTTCTGATTCTATGCCATAGATTAATTCTGCATGATAATGTACTGAAAACTTAAACTATGCATTCATCTGTGTCTTTTGTGGGGAAGTCACTGGTTAATTGTTTTGCTGTACTATAATCCATCATGTTTCAACATCATAGATTATTTCTCAATTATGGCCAATAGCCATTTGGGTTGTTAATTTTTCATCATTACTTTTAATGTTGCTATTCACATTTTGGGCGTAACTTTTGGTTTATATATTTCTATATATCTGTACGTACCTAATTGCTGAGATAAAGTGCATGCTAATTTTTACTTACCCTTTGATCTTCTTTTTTTTTTCTGACAGGCAGAGTGGACAGTGAGAGAGAGAGACAGAGAGAAAGGTCTTCCTTTGCCGTTGGTTCACCCTCCAATGGCCGCCGCGGCCGGCGCGCTGCGGCCGGCGCACCGCGCTGATCCGATGGCAGGAGCCAGGAGCCAGGTGCTTTTCCTGGTCTCCCATGGGGTGCAGGGCCCAAGCACCTGGGCCATCCTCCACTGCACTCCCTGGCCACAGCAGAGGGCTGGCCTGGAAGAGGGGCAACCGGGACAGAATCCGGCGCCCCGACCGGGACTAGAACCCGGTGTGCCGGCGCCGCTAGGCGGAGGATTAGCCTAGTGAGCCGCGGCGCCGGCCTATTTTTATTTTTAATTACTTGAACTGCTTTACATACTTCCCAAGATAGAGGGGTTTTTTTTCTTTTTCTGCATATTCTCTACAATACATTTTTTCTTGATATTATTTATTTATTTTAATTTTATTTGAAAGACAGAGAGAGAGAATATCATAGAGTGAGATCTTCCGTTTACTTATTTACTCCACAAATGCTTGCAATAGCCCAAGCTGGGCCAGGAAGAAGCCAAGAGCTGGAGTCTCAATCCAAATCTCCTGCATTGGTGTCAGTGACTCAATGTTTGAGGCATCACCTGCTGCTTCCAAGAGCATGTATTAGTAGAAAGCTAAATTCAGAAGCAGAACAAGGAGTTGAACCCAGGCACTCAGATATGGGATGTATATATCTTGTGCCAAGGTTCCACCCCTATATCCTTTTTGGTTTGAATCTTTTCAAATTTGCTGAGTTTAGGTAATAGCTCAGCATATAATTAATTTCAGTACCTCTCCATATACTCTAGAAATGTGTGTTTCCAGTTACATTACAATTATGTATGTGTGTATATATATATACACAAATATACACACATGTATGAGTATATATGAGGAAATTTCAAGAAGATCAATGAAATAGAATTAAAAATTATTTATTTATTTATTTTTATTTATTTAATTTTTTTCGACAGGTAGAATGGACAGTGAGAGAGAGAGACAGAGAAAAAGGTCTTCCTTTTCCGTTGGTTCACCCCTCAATGACTGCTGGGGCCGGTGCACTGCACCCTGCTCCAAAGCCAGGAGCCAGGTGCTTCTCCTGGTCTCCCATGCAGGTGCAGGGCCCAAGGACTTGGGCCATCCTCCACTGCACTCCTGGGCCACTGCAGAGAGCTAGACTGGAAGAGGAGAAACTGGGACAGAATCTGGCACTCCAACCGAGACTAGAACCCGGTGTGCCGGTGCCGCAGGTGGAGGATTAGCCTATTGAGCCGCAGTGCCGACCCTAAAAGTTATTTATTTTGATGAAAAAAATTGAAATCTGCAGTATTTTTAATTAGGTGAGTATTTTAAAGATCTCCACATATTAAGTTTTGCTCCCAGATTACCATGTTTTAGTTTCATTATGTGTGAGAACACATAAGAATGTTTTGCAAAAGTTGAATTAATAGATAATTTGAATTTTTCATGACTGTTTTGAAGCCTCTGTTTGTGTCTTCAAATGTTAATTATTACTTTTTTACCATTTTCTGTTAATATATGAGGCATTTAAAATATTCATGCCATGAATACAGATCTGTGTGTTTGTATTTTTCTTTATATCACTTTACTTTGTTTTTTTTTTTTTTGAAGTTTAATGAGGAGCTGTATACGAATTGAGATTTGTATTATTTCAAAAGATACACTAATTAACATTATTAAACATTCTCTCTATTTTTAGAAATGATTTTTATCTCAAGACTGGTATTAGTCTAGCCACAACAGCTCACAATTACTGCTTAAATGGATTTGTAACTTACATTAAGCAAGTCTCATAAACAGGGTCTATATTGCATTTTTGGGCTCCAGTTTGAGAACCTTTGTCTTTGAAGGATTAATCAATCTCCTTATGGCCAAAATAAGTTCTGATATATTCCTATTTAAATTATTTTTTCAATCTGAATTGCATGTATTTTCTATTCTTCGTTTTCTCTAGTTTAAAAAATGATTTATTTAATTATATGTTTGACAGAGCAATGAAGAGAGAGGAAGAGACAGAGACAGAGCACAAGAAAAAAAAATCTTCCATTCTCAGGTTCACTTCCCAAATGGCTCCAACAGCCAGGACTGGGCCAGGCCATTGCCAGAGTACAGGAACTCCATCTTGGTCTCTCTTGTGGGTGGCATGGTCTCAACAACTGGGCTATCTCCCACAGCCTCTCCAAGTGCACCACCAGAATGTCAGATCAGACAGGAAAAACAAGGTTCAAACCAACTCTGAAATGGGATGCCAGTGTCACAGCAGTAGTTTAATCCACTGTGCCATAACAACAGCCTTGGGAAATTTTATTTCCAATAAATAAGGAGTTCATATCCGTTATATAAAAAGAATTCTGACAATCAAGAAAAAGATAACAAATAACCTAGTATAAAGAAGCAAAAATTAGAATAGTCATTTATCCAAAGAAGATAATTGAATAGTCAGTAAACACATAAAAATATGTATGCCTTCTTGAATCATAAGAGAAATGGAAATCAAGGGCTCAAAGAGATAATTACTTGACATTCAATATAATAGCAATAACAATAATAATAATAGTAATGAAAAATTTTAGCAATGATGTGGAGGAGTTGAATCCCTTCTATACTACATGTAGTAATGAAAATGTCGCAACTACTTTAGGAAGTATTTTGAAACATTTTCATTAACAAGAAATTTGTATATGATGAAACAATTCCACTCTTTGATACTATATGTTTGTTTCTTGCCAAATTTGTTATAATCCAATATGAAACACCAAAACATCACAAATCTGAGAAATGCACATATATAAAATGAGATATATCCAGACCAAAAAACATTATTGAACAACAAACAGAAAAAATGGAGTAACGTAGGAACAATCTGGACGAAACTAAGATCTAGCTTACTAACTAAACTCATGCTAAAAGAAAGATGCCACTCGGCCAGAGCCATGGCTAAATGGGCTAATCCTCCGCCTGCGGCGCCAGCACACTGGTTCTAGTCCTGGTTGGGGCACCAGATTCTGTCCCAGTTTCTCCTCTTCCAGGCCAGCTCTCTGCTGTGGCCCGGGAGTGCAGTGGAGGGTGGCCCAAGTGCTTGGGCCCTGCACCCACATGGGAGACCAGGAGAAGCACCTGGCTCCTGGCTTTGGATCAGAGCGGTGTGCAGGCCGCAGCACGCTGGCTGCAGTGGCCATTGGAGGGTGAACCAACGGCAAAGGAAGACCTTTCTCTCTGTCTCTCTCTCTCACTGTCCACTCTGTCAAAAAAATAATAAAAATTAAAAAATTAAAAAAAAGAAAGATGCCACTTGCAAGACTATACATTTTAGGATTCCATTTGTAGGAAATATCCAGATTAGGCTAACTCTAAATTAGTGGTTACGTAGGTCTTGACATTAAGGTCAGAGTTACTTTTATAGCATATAAAGGTATTTTTGGTATGATAAGAAAAAGTGTCAAAATTTTATTTTGATGAGAGACTCTTAAAATAGAGGACATTAATATGTTTTTGCACTTTAAGCAGATAAATATCATGATATCTAAAATGTATCATAAAACATTTTAAAGTAATGGTAAAATTAAAAAGCAATTATTGAGCAGAACAAACTTGTATTTTCAGAAATTTAGGCATTGAATTTAAATATTCTATCATATTTTTTCAATTTCAATATAAAATCCAAAAACGTCACCTTTACATTTAGTTATATACTTTAAAACTTGTGTGCAACATTGTTTAATTACCTGTTAAGCAAGCAGTAAATCAATGTGATAAATTTGCAACTTTCAAATAACTGAAAAGAAAAGCACATTTCACAGTAATTACATGCTTTCACTTTTCTCATAATTAAAACTAAAAGAACAGATGATGCCCACACTCAGGGATGACAAGATTGGTCTATATGTTAAAAAATCATTGTTATACTCACAAAGGGTCATTAATAACTGTCTTCACTGCAGCGAGCAAATCTGCACTTGACATTGTGATCAAGTCCAATCTAACAGCTGCTCCCTTGGCCACCATGCGGATGATGTTATCAGCTTGCTCGGCAAACAAAGGAAGGCCCACCATAGGGATACCATGGTAGATTGCCTCATAGATGCCGTTGGTTCCACCATGAGTTATGAAAGCTTTGGTTTTGGGATGTCCTAGGATTTAGTGAATGTCAGAAAAATTATTAATTATAATTTTTCAAAATATAAAGAGAAAAACACAAGGCAATTGTAAAATAACATGTTTTCTAGACAACATATTTTTATGGTCATGAAACTGTATTTAAATTGTTTTCAATTCTCAGAAGAAGAAGCAACCAAGGCCACTGGAGAGGTGGGTGAACAAAATGAAAAAGTGCATCCTAGATAAAGAAACAGCTGTGCGAAAATGGAAGGCAAGTAAGATAGCATCATCTTAATTAGATTAAGGTGAGAGGGTCATGGTGCTGGCTTCAAAGGAAGGAGAGGCTATACTTCATCATGAAGCACACTGTTCCTTCCTGATAAACACTGAATTCTTTTCCCTAGAAAATGCAGAGTCATAATCACTGCAAGGATGTTAGTGTTCATGGCTTTATAATACTCTTATAGTAGGAGAGGCATAGGTGAAAACTGTAAAAAGAGGAGATAGACAACCCAGGAAGTTACTGAAGAATTATCCATGAGAGGTAATTAAAACTAAAATAGATATTTTGATAGTAGCCATAAAATACGTAACTGAATACAATAAAATGTCAATTTTTTTAAATATTTTTATTCTCTAGGACTAAGAAATACACAAGAAAAACATTCAGGTTATTTTAAATTTTTTTAAAGACAGATTTATTTATTTATTTATTTGAAAGAGTTACAGAGAGAGAGAGAGAGAGAGAGAGATTCCATCTGTTGGTTTACTCCCCAAATAGCAGCAACAGCTAGAGTTGGGACAGGAAGAAATGAATAGACAGAAGCTTCATCCGGGTGTCCCATATGCAGGGACCCGGATGCTTAAGGCCATCTTCTGCTGCTTTTCCCAGGCCATTAGCAGGGAGCTGAATGGCAAGTGGAACAGTGGGGACTCTAATTGGCAACCATATGAGATGCCGGGGTCACACACAATTGCTTTATCTGTTATACCATAACACGGGTAGAGCTGTTTTAATTTTTTATTTATTCATTTTGTTTATAAAAGGCAAGGAAACACAGATATTATCCACATCACTGTTTGCTTCCAAATTCCCCACAATCGTGAGGCTGGGCCAGGCCAAGACAGGTGTCAGGAACTCAATCCAGGTCTCCCATAGAGATGCAGGTTCCTAAATTCTTGAGCCATCTGAACTGGTGCCTCCCAAGGTATGTATAAGCAGTGAGCTGGAACAGGGAGCTAGATGACACTCAAATCTAGGCAATCTAATAGGGAATGCAGGCTTCCTGAAGTGTTACACCAAACACCTGCCCCAGGAGTTATTTTGTTATTAATTTTTGCTATTTTCATTAATGAATATTTAATAGATTTATTTTGCATTCAATTGTTATCAAGTTGTCACTATGTTTTAGGATTTGTTCTTCAGAGTCTTACCAAGAAGGTCATTCTGGGGGATCCACTTATATAGCTGAGTATTGGGTCCTAAGGTATCTGGTTTCTTGCCATCAAATCTCCATAGAACCTATTCAGAATAAGAAAAGATCTTTCCGGAGTCAAATTCCAAATCACAAAGTGTTAAGAGCTCTAAAAAGGTTAACAATTTACAAAGTCAAGTGCCTTTTCCAGGACAGAGATAGAAAATAATAGAAGAGATGCTAAGTAATGAAAAGTATTAAACAAGAATATCCACAGTTTCTGTCCTTATTTTTATATTCAGCTAGGTGTGGAATGCAAGCCAGATTAGACAAATGAACTCATCAACGACAAATTCATGTATTTAAGTTATTGATAGATACTTTATTCTATTTTTTAATTAATTAATTTATTTTTTTATTTCTTGACAGGCAGAGTAGAGAGTGAGAGAGACAGAGAGAAAGGTCTTCCTTTGCCATTGGTTCACCCTCCAATGGCCGCCGCGGCCAACGCGCTGTGGCCGGCACACTGCGCTGATCCGATGGCAGGAGCCAGGTAATTATCCTGGTCTCCCATGGGGTGCAGGGCCCAAGGACTTGGGCCAGCCTCCACTGCACTCCCGGGCCACAGCAGAGAGCTGGCCTGGAAGAGGGGCAACCGGGACAGAATCAGGCGCCCCGACCGGGACTAGAACCATGTGTGCCGGCGCCGCAAGGCGGAGGATTAGCCTAGTGAGCCGCAGCGCCGGCCGATAGATACTTTACCTCTAGTAAAAATCTATAGCAAATTACTAATGAATACACAATTATTTTATTTGTTGTACCTATGTTTTATACTAGCTCTTTTCTTACAAATTCCATAACAATCTGTTTCCTTTTTCTTTTAGAATGATATTTAAGGGAGTTTACTTGCTTCATAAATTATTTTTTTATAATGTTTGACTTTACTGAGCCCACCATTTATTATGCACCGGGTTCATCTCAAAGACAGAATCCCCTCTGGACCTTTCACTTACATCTTCCTAATTTAGATAGCAAAGCCATATCCACCAGGGAAGGGTGGCTTTTCACTTTCTTTAAATCAAATTTGTTGATGAGACACAAGCTTCCAGAGTCCTGCCCTTCTGCTCTTTGAACAGCACACCAAATATGCCCATTCCAAAGTACAGAAGAGGTAAAGGCTTGAATTCCATGGGAAGACTATATCATGCGATTCAATCCACTCTTATTAACACCTGCTTATCATTACTGAGCTAGTGCAATTATTCATTAACATATTGCTTTTTTTTTATAACAACTATATCCTGCATGGAAAAGGAGGAAAGGACAAGGCCTTATTTGGTGATCACTGTGTGCCAGCCTGCAATACCATTACAATATCAACCCCCACTGCATCTGTTAGGCGTAACTTCTTACTGATCAAAATATTAATGTAAAATATTTTGTTCAACCAACAGCAAATTCTGTACTGTTTATCATAAGCCATGCATATTCTTCTTTTAAAATTGATTTTGGAGAAAAATTACAGATATAGCAGTCTAATTGACAGAGGAAGATTCTATAACCAGACTTTTAGAGATTTTAACAGTGTTTACAGTACCAAACACCATTAGGGCACATTTCTGACCTTTTGTGGAAGCTGAGCAAGGGCTAGTGCAATCACATTGGTCCTTTCCTCTGTCACTTTGCTGACCATGGACCCCAGGGAAAACACCACCACTCCCTCTTCCCCAGAGCTCTGCACAAAGTCTTCTATTTCCTGTGAAGAAAGGAGTTGTTCCATCACAAAAGAGCAGCAGCAGAGCACATGTTATTAAAAGGATAATAATTATTATTTTGTAAGTACAAGCCAGTGTGTGTATGGGTGTGTGTATATGTGTACTTAAGAATTATAACAGATTCATTGCATAACAAAGCCATGACGAACCGTGACACAATCTGCTGAGGCTCCTCTAACATTGCTTCTCAAATAGCCATCTTCACTGGGTGTCTACGTATTCTTCTCTATGTTGTCCAAAATAAGGACAGATTTAGTAAAGCTAATCTGTAGAGATAATTTAGAACTTCATTCCAAATTTTGCTAATTTTGATCCAGCTAAATTTAACAAGAATCTACCAGAGTGTAATAAGAATCATTACCCTTAACATGCGACCACTTTCCCTAAGTCCTCAGATGCCTCCTCCTCCTTTCCTAGCTGAAGTCTGACTACCCTCGTCTGCCTTCAGCAGTGATCTTGTGTGACCAGAATCTCCCTGACTCTTACTGTTTCCTGTAATAATTTTCTATTCAGTGATCCCCACATAGCACCTTCTCTTCCCCTTTCTCCTACTATACCCTGAGTGGATCCCTCTTTCTCTCCTTTTCTATAAAATACTATTGCAATGCTCTCTGTATTTATTGTGGAGATCTTGGATAAGGTCTGCCTTATTGTGTTTATCAGTGTCATGAATCCTGACTTTCTTTAATCGTTGTGGTGCTACAGTTCAGAGAGGCTCAGATACATTTTGGCGTCCTGGGCCTCTCACCCAAGTCACAAGTGTACACCTTTGAAGCCTTTGTTTGCACTCCTGACTCATCGATCTGGGATCATTTCGTGAGTCAAACGCTCAAGCCATTGCTCTGTGGAGACCTACACAGAGCTAGTAAGAACACATTCTGGTTATTTTGAATCTGTGTGTTCTCCATGTTGGATATAGAATTTGAGAGAAAAAGCTGAAGAAGACTTAGGTGTCTTTGTTATATGGGGATGAATTAGAGTCCCAGGCAAGCAGGGACTGGTGAGATTTTCAGGCCTCTTTGACCAAAAGCTACTTACTGTTTGATCATGTTTCTTGCTGACTCTTTCTCTGGAATGCGGATTATCCTCTGACTTGCTGGCTCTTTGTGAGGTTGATCTGTAACTGACTTCTCCCATGGGGACATCTCAGCCCAGGCCTTTTCAAATTGCTGCTGAGGATCTGCTCCTTCAATCCTTTCTGCTCCCTTTCTTGTGGCTATGCCTTTAGTACCAATAATAGGAAATTCTTTCCCACTTTGGGGAATTTATGGTCTCTCCTCATTGATTCTTCTGAGACCTCCCCCTTCCCAACATGTCCATTTTTCCTTCCTCCTAGTATCACCTTCATTCTCTGCCCCCATCACTCTTGCAATTTTTGATGTGTCCTTCACATCCCAGACTGCTAGCCTCATCTGTCCACCCTGCTGGACCTGCCTTCCCACTTCAGTCCCTCAGCTTCCCAAAGTCACTTATTCTTCGTTGCCTGGCCAAATCCGGGGCTCTCAATAATTCAATGTCCCTCCAAGCAAATGCTTGATGTTGAAAAGAAAAAGCCTAAGAGGAAGTTGACAACAGTCTATCTGCTAGAATGCACATAGGCAACATCCAGAGGCTGCAAGATATCCATTTTCTCAGCCTAAAGCAAAGTCCACAGCTTCCATAAGATGAGCCATTCACCTGACAAAAGAAATTCTTAAATGTCTTCCCTACAAATATTGGTTTATAAATAAAACTGCCCCTTACTGAGTAGATATTCTTAATTTGTCCCAGTTTTTTGTTGGCAACGCAATCAAGAAAAAATATAAAGTGGAGATAAATCAGTTTGTTTTGTATTGCTAAGTAACTTGATTGACTACTATGGTTTTGGAGTGAAATCTCCAAGATCTGTGGTGTGTCTATACAAATTTCATGTGTATCTCTTCGTGTATTTGAGCTATATTTCCAAAATCTTTTCTTTACTTGACAAGATGTTGTCATTAACTAAATTTAACAAATTATTGTTAGTATCCTTATTTGATTTTATTTAGTGTTATTTTCAAATTGTGCAATTATATTAATCAAATGTCTTAAAATTCTCAGAAATATGAAAATTAATCCAAATGTTCTACAGGTTTAAATTACTTGAATACATATTTGGTAAATAACACTTGTTTGCTATTATTTATGGAATACAAATAATTGTGTCCTCTGAGTTTTCATAGTAAGTATAATGTTAAAATATGGGCTTATCAATTACATGTAGTTACAAATGACCAACAGATAAATGAGCTGTCATGAGGGCTAGCATTGTTTGTCATTATGGTATGTCAGCATGAAAGCAGTTTTCAGGTATTTTGACATCCTAAAACTTTAGAGATAATGCAAGTTAAATTTTGTCATAGGGATTGGTGTTGTGACATAGTGGGTAAAATTGCAGTCTGTGGCAAGGCATCCCATAGGCCCTTATTTGTGTCCCGACTGTTCAAATTCCAATCCAGCTACCTGCTAATGGCCTAGGAAAAGCATCAGAAGATGACCCAAATATTTGGGCCCCTGCCACCCAATTGGAAAACCCCGATAAAGCTCCTGGCTCCTGGCTTCTGGCTCCTGGCTTTGGTTTGGTCCTGCCATGGTCATTGTGGACATCTAGGGAGTGAATCAGTATTTTTTTTTTACAGCAGTAAAAAAAAAAAAAAAAATGAAATCCGGTCATTTACAACAAAATGGAGGAATCTGGAAAACATTATGCTGAGTGAAATAAGCCAGTCCCAAAGGGACAAATATCATATGTTCTCCCTGATCAGTGACAACTAACTGAGTACAAAAAGGAAACCTATTGAAGTGAAATGGACACTATGAGAAACAGTGACTTGATCAGCCCTTGTCCTGACTGTTGATGTACAACTTAATACTTTATCCCTTTTAGTATTTTTTGTTCTACATTTTTTTAAACTTTTATTTAGTAAATATAATTTTCCAAAGTACAGTTTATGTATTACAATGGATTTTCCCCCCATAACTTCCCTCCCACCCGCACCCCTCCCATCTCCTGCTCCCTCTCCCATTCCATTCACATCAAGATTCATTTTCAATTCTCTTTATATACAGAATATCAATTTAGTATGTATTAAGTAAAGATTTCAACAGTTTGCACCCACACAGAAACACAAAGTGTAAAATACTGTTTGAGTACTAGTTATAGCATTAATTTACATTGGACAACACATTAAGGACAGATCCCACATGAGAGTAAGTACACAGTGACTCCTGTTGTTGACTTAACAATTTGACATTCTTGTTTATGGCGTCAGAAATCTCCCTAGGCTCTAGTCATGAGTTTCCAAGGCTATGGAAGCCTCTTGAGTTCGCTGACTTCAATCTTACTCAGACAAGGTCGTAGTCAAAGTGTAAGTTCTCTCCTCCCTTCAGAGAAAGGTACCTCCTTCTTTGATGGCCCCATTCAT